GCAGCCTTTGCCTCCCTCTCCGTGGTTACCGACGCAATATCGTTCGGCTTCAGGAACTGCCGGACAAGAAAATTCTCCGGAGGTTGACACTTGGCCGTTTACCTCGAGAGTATGGGGACCGCTTGGGACAGTTCCCCCACGACCCCCTCCAGGCTTCTCTCCCATTGAAGGGCCCGACGGGCGAAGTCATCCAGGGGTCGCTACAGGACTTGCGCAAGCTGCAGAATTCTTCAGTGGGGCAGCCCCCAGATATCCACCAGTAACAGCAGCAGCCTGGTTCAGTGGGACATCCGGCCAGCAAAGTGGCGAAGCAACGCCCCCTTGGCATCCTCCTGACCGCAGCAACTCCCGCAACTGATGCTGCAGCAGCAAGTGCTGCATATTCGTTCCCTGCTTTCCCCAAATCTGGTGAAGAGAGTCATTACACTTTGAAGTTTTATTATGAGGGGGTATTTGGGCCTTCTTTCTTGTCTTTTAGTTTATGGGGAAGGGCTAAGATATGCAGAAGGTTGAGGGCGTTGAGAAAATCTCCTGAGGACTCTCAGGTGTACGTGATGTCCATCTCCAAGCCGAAAGGTAATATCAGTGGATGGGAGAGGACATTGCTAAGTAGCATTTGGCGGGCGCACATTGCATGCATAGGACAGATGGAGGCAACTTTTGCCTACCCTAGCTACGAGTAGGCATGTTTGTGGCTCTCCGCATGATCGCACCGATCTCCTTAACACAAGACACCTTGGGAACTATTGCCGAAGTTCCTCCCGCATGAACGTCTGGCCGTTTGCTCTTGTATGTGAGCGGCCAGTTGTGAAGCGACAATCAATTGCTCTGGGACGAGCTGAGAAAAAAGTTTTATTTTTGATTCTCCCCTGTCTGTTACACCCTGTGACAGCAGGTGCTGGAAGATGTGCAGCTTGTTTCCTGCCGATCTTTACTGCTTTATTTGTGCGTTGTTTTGTAGTCTAGCTCTGGCACTCCGATATTGCCAGGGAGTTTTTTTGCAATTCAACGCCTCTTTGAGCCACAGCGGACAAACAGCCCTTATTGAATTGAAGCATTGGTTCACGGGACAGCAGCATATGCCAATGTTCACTTGATTCTGAATGTTTCACCTTTTGAGCGTAGACCAGGGCGTGGGCGCCGCACGAAACGCAGAGGATCATTGTTGATCTGCATTATATACTACTGAAACGATTCAGATCATTGGAACCATAGCTATGTTGCAACGCAGCGAATTGCAGGCTGCGTAATGGCTGCAACAGCATCGCAGAGCAACGCCTTTTCACCACGTATTAAGGTGTATGTCTACGGAGTGCATGAAATTCCAACGAAATGAGCACTTGATGCAGTGCGCCCGCAGCTGCGTGCTTCAGTTAAAAAAGAACGAACATACGATAAAAACGTATGATCACATTGGGACCCGCCACAGGCTTCTCCTCTTCGAATGTTCCGAAGCAAACATTGGGTGAGTGTGAGCTTCGGCCGTCATCAAGAAAGGATCCACGCGTCGTAACTCGAATGGCCTCATCAGTATGACATACCCAACAAGCAACTGACCTTGGTTGGCTATCCCCGCGGCTAGCTAGCGGGTGCCTAATTAGCCATCTCGAAGGGACACACATATGCAACTGAACGGGGGAAAAGAGCAGCAATCGGAAATGCGAAGTCGCCGCAAAACCCACGCACAAGCCGCAGCGCTTCAGGCATACGTAGACACAACTCTGCTCGGTTCTGCTTTTTTTCGTTGTCTGGGTTACGCAAGGCCGTCTGTGGTGCCGTGTAATCCGAACGTGTGAGCTCAGCCAGCAACATATCTAACTGCCGCAAGTATGCCGTAGGCGTCACTTCGTCGCGACGGCGACGACCGGGCAAAGGCAGATTCGCACGTTCGCGATGGTCGCATCTGGCAAGTAGCCTTTCAACTTGGCCCACCTCAGATGTTCGTCTGGTGCAAACTGGATTGATTCCGCCAAGGAGGCTTTGCAAGTGATCGTCATGACGGAGCGGAGATGCTTCTCGCCGTCTTTCATAGCGCTTTTTTCTTGGGGTACTTATTTGATTCTTCGCACAGTAGCGAATACAAATGTAGTTGGAATAACCGACGGCTACAGGGTTTCACTGCTTCCTGACCCTTACGCTTTCGTAGTCCCTCCCGGATGCCCCAGCTGCGTCCCCCACTGTCACCCATGGCGTTTGTAAGGTTATGTCGTGATCAGGCAGTCAAATTCAGGATCGTGTCATGGTAGTATGACCCTTGCTGAGTTGCCCGCACTTTACACCCATGCCTTTCATGGATTCTTGTTTCCTGTCTGCTGTCGATGAAATGTAGTACCGGCGATTGCGCCACAGAATGGACAGCTTGGCTGCAGCTCGTTGCCGTAGCTTCAGGTATCGGATCCACTTCGCAGAACGTGTCAAGCTGCGCCAGCAACTCTTGAGCGTTAATACGAACTTTTATAAGCACATGTGGCTAGAGGCTGGTCGACAGATACGGCTTCCGCTTCCTTTGTCTCCATCATGACGTCGCGCCTTGCGTGGGGGGCCGCGGCATCCTCCTGTTCCTTTTGCTGGTTTCCCTCGCGGCTGTTACTAAAATCCTTGTTTCTCCTATTCCTTTTGCTTTCCGTGCGATCGGCCGACAGTGTATGCACTGTGAAACAACTCATGGGGAATATAGCACAGCCACTCCCGACCGTCCAGATATAGCAGGTGCTAAGAGGGAAGGCAGCGGAAGTATTTTTTGCTCATGTGGGGGCGTACTTCCGTCTTCAAATTGCACCCGGTTCGAGAGTTTTCAACAAACAACTTCAGGTTCAAATCTAAAAACACTTTAATGCAAGGGCCCTTCACCAATAGTCAATGCGCCAGACAAACCAGCTGGGGGGCCCGCCCCTCCCCCTCTAAACAATGCGAGGCTTTTACCAAGCGTAAGGACGTCCCTCGATATTGGCAGAGAACCGTCGTGAGTCTCAATACCGGCAAAATACTTACCGTACGAGTCCCCCTAAGCAGCTGACTCACCTTCCAGTCTCCAAGCGTCTGAGCCTAGTGTCGGAAAAGAATGGGACTAGTGCGGAAAGTATCCACCCTGCCACATGTTGCAACACACCGAATTGCAGTTTCTGCTGCAAGAAAACCCCCAATTCATGCAGAGCTAAGCCTCTTTATACATGCATGTTATATTGAGACCACTCAATCCTAAGTCAGGACCGTCAACACCTGCAATAGAGTCAAAACGCCTTTGACTCCCCATAGTAACCGACCTGCCGTAGCTGTTTCCAGGCATCCTGATCACAGAGGCGAAAAGGCCAGGGGCTGGTGTGGAGAGGAAACTTCCTGGGAAGAGAAAGAGCGAAATGAGAACACAGATACTAGCAGGGACAGGTGTGACCTACAGAAAGAAGGAAGATGCGACTCATTCCATTTGCTGTCCGTGCTGCTACTGCTTGAGTGGCTGGTCTCGTTGGTGTTGCTGCAGTGCCTGCTCGAATTGCTCCCGTTGCTGCTGCAGTCGTTGCTCAAGTTGCTATTCATTTTTCTGTTGCTGCAGTCGATAGTTGAGTCGCTGCTCCCTGTATAGGGCTCGCGCTGCTTTGGGTGAATTCGACGTGCATGTTGTGTGCTACTGCAGTCGCAGAAAATGAGATTTGGTGCGGCAGCAGGTGAACGGCACGTGCCTGCGCTGTTCCTCGTGCCAGTATGGGGATGAGTGAAAGGCGAAACAAGAGGAAACAAGACAAAGGAGGCGACGCGAAGAAAAAGAGATCACAACTGAGACCCTGTTCAGCCAGGAACAGAACCAGTCGGAGGCGGAGGTGAAGGCAAAGGCAAACAGGTATAAAGGCCATATAGACCCTAGACAAGAGGCGCCGGGACAGCTTAAGATGAAGCAGCAGCACGAAGGAGCTCGGGATCAGGGAAACCCTTGCCTAGGCGCAGGGAGGCCGACCCGCAAGCCACACTTTCCCCATTCTGACGCAGTAGCTCGGACCACTACACATAGTTGGATCTAAGAAGGAGCAATTCCAGAACGCTGGAGGGCTCCTCCTGCAGCAGCAGCAGCAACTTGCCCTGGTGCCGCCCCTGCCCCCAGTGGGCTGCCCATGCGAGTCCTTGTGCGTTACAACACCACGACATTCCGCGGCAAGAAACCACTTCTTATAATATTTAACGCATACTTCAACATACAAAAACGAAGGAAAACATAATTTCACCACAGGAAGAGCAAAAACAACTGGAGAAGAAGCACCAACAGTAGCAGCAGGCCAGCCAGCTACAAGGCCCGAGTCACCCAGTGTCCCATAGGACGCCCCGCCTGAAACGTAGGTAGGCGATTAAATCAGTCCGTTTGTTGCATGAGAGGGTAAATACTTCGAGAAGACCTATGAATACTCTTCTCACGGACCTTCACGACCTCTTTTCCCGCATATACAGCCTCTTTCATCTTTGCTCTCTGCCTGGCCCTGCCGATCCCCAGGCTGCTTGCCGCGTTCAACTGAGCCCGTAGGCTACTTATTGCAAATTCTCAGCGGTTTTCCGCATTTGTAAATGAGTTTTTTAACCGAGTAGCCCCTTTTTTCAGTGGGAGATGAAGAGAAACTTGTTTTCCAAGAGCGATCCTGCCTGAGAGGCCAACAGTGCTCAGCGTACGCCCCAAGCGATGCGGTGTTCTCCACTGCTCCTGCCCTCCCTCTGCCTGTCTTTTCCTCCATTTTTTTCTCCGGCCCCCCACCCTTGCGTGTCCTGTCTGATGTCGCCGGGGTGCCATGCAAGTCGCACCAGCAGCAGAACCGCACGCTCTCCCGACATGGCTGCAGCTGCTGGGCTCGGTTGCGACGGTCGAGAGCGGCCGACACGGCTCGCCTGGGGATGCTGTGTCTCCCCTTACTTCGGGAAGCCTACGAAAGAGGCGCAATGTGGGATTTAGGGGTGATAGCAGCGTTGCCGCTCTCGCAGCCGTTGCTCTGCTTGCAACGGCGTACTTAGTGCTCCGTTGCGCTCTGTATCTGGCGAGCGCCAGTAGATCGTCACTGAGATTTCTGGCAGGAGCAGAAAATGAAGCAAATAAAGACCAGGAAGAGTCTTGCGGGCCTCCTGCGGAGCAGGATCGACCTGCTGCAGCTATTGCTAACAAAAAGCCGCAGCTGTTGAAGCGGGCTCGGCGTTATGTCGAAGAACTGGCGAGGCTTATAGGCAAGAACAGTTGGCTTGTACTGAAGCTGAAACCCTCACTGAAAGTAACGTGCGTAGCAAAGTTCCTGTGTCTGTCCTTGGTAGAGGCTTCTGCCTTGTTCGCATTGTTAGAAAGACGTGACAGGGCCGGCATTACAGAAGCAGTCAATAAAATATCCAGGCGAATATGGGACCTCCGTGATAGCATCGGCGAAAAAGATGTTTCACACGCGCGGCAGCGCAATTTAAATATCCTTCATGCGACGCTCAACAACCTGCAGTCGAGTAACCCCTCTGAAGAGCCAATGGCAGAGGCGCAGCGGCTGGAGATGGTCGAGCATCTGCTGCAGTTGCAGGAGTTGGCCTTAACGCAGCTCAACTCCGGGATATGCTGGCTGAGAGGGCTTATTCAGGGCTCAAAGGACGCCAGTACGGACACCAAACCTGCTGCTGCAGCTGCTGAAGGTGCTGCAGCAGCAGGTGAAGAAGCTGGTGCCGTTGCTGACGGTGGTGATGCAGTTGATGAAGCTAAAGTTGCTGCAGCTGTTAAGGCTATCGAACTAACCGTGCATACGCGCAGGGACCACATTTTAAACGATCCAAAACTCAGCCGGTGGCTGCGAACTTCGCAGCCGAAAGGCCACTATGGCATCACGAACCGCCTGCATATGGAAATGATAACCCAACAACCCCTACTAACCCATCCCGAACGATTAGAAGGCCTGATGGCCACACCGTTGGGGTCGGGAAGTCCACCCTGGGAGGTAATTGACATTGAAAAGCTTGAGGCGCATAAGAGAGCCGCTTCGTCCTCTTCACCCGAGGCGCCCTCTCGAGCTGAGGAGGTGACTCCTTATCAAGCCCCATGCGATCGCCCTCGCGCCCCAGGAAAGCTGAAGTCTCCTGGCCAAGGCTCCCGAAAGGGGGCCGGCGCTCAGCGGCATGCTCCCGTTGCCTCGTCTCCCAGCACATCTTCAGCTACGGATGCTGCATCAGCCGCTCCTTCAAGTGCTGCAGCTTCAGCGGATGCACCTGAACGGACGGATGGCGCTTTACAGGATCGCAGTCAAGGTAGGCGAATGCCTGGTCGTGCTGCGCACAGGAAACGTGAACAGGTCTTATCTTCTACCCCTACAGAGGGTCGCCAAGCCTCTGCAGTGAACGCTACTACCCAAGCTGCTGCTGCCTCCTCACGGGGCCGTCCAGCTTCGCACGCCAGAGGGGCCTTCAGAGCCTCCAGAGTCACTTCTGCCGGGGTATCTTCAGACTTCGGTCCTTCTCGTGCAACAATGCCAAGACGTTTGCCCGGTCCGCTCCCAAGAGCCGTTTCTGATGCTGGTGATCATGCCCCTGAAGACGTCACTGGGACGACCCCAGCTGCTCCTGCCGCTGAGATGTCCGCTGCTTACCATTCTTCTGGTGTATCACGGGGTTCAGGACCAGCATACGGCGCCTTGCCTGCCGTTTCAGGTCCGCAGCGGTCGCCAACAACATATGCCGAGCCACAAGCTGAATTTGAGCGCTCCCGCGATTCCTCAAATCCCCTTCTTGGGCCTTCTCCTTTATCCCTCCCCCAGGTGCATACTCCTGTTAGTCATTTTTCCGTATCTCCTGGGGCACCGGGAGTCCGGCCACTGCCGACCACAGGTTTAGATGAAGGCGCTCCTCCAAGCACAGGGAGCTTCGTGTCGGTATCTTCGACGTCGCAGTTGCAGCGACCTGCCTCGCGGAAATCGCAGACATCTCCGTGGATACCGTCAGACTATCGTTCATCTTTAGGAATCGCAAAGGAGGAAGGTGATCAAGAGCTTGACACTTGGCCGTTTGCCTCGAAAGTATGGGGACCACCTGAAAAAGCTCCCCTACGACCCCCTCCAGGCTTCTCTCCCATTGAAGAACCCGATGGGCGAAGTCATCCAGAGGTCGCTACAGGACTTGCGCAAGCTGAAGAATTTTTCAGGGGGGTACTCCCCCAACAGCCGCGCGATGTGATGCATCCCAGAGAGCTACCAGTAGCAGCAACAGCTCGGCCCCCGCCAGCTGATGCAAGAAGTGCTGCGGAAGCTTCCGCAACAGCTGATTCCTCTCCTGTTCCTTCCGCACCACATGAAGAAGGCCGTTAGCGTTCGAAGCCTCTTTCTGTGGGGAGCTTCTGGTTTTTCCCTCGTTCTTTGTTTTATGAAGGGTAGCCAGCATAGGGCATGGAGGGCAAACCTAGTGAGCGTCCTCATGTTTGCGTTTTCATTATAGCTGGAAAGGAACCGCACTGGAAGGAAGAGGACATCATGAAGCAGTGCACCACGGGCGCCCATTGCATGGAGAGGATGCCCAGGAGGCAAGAAGGCACCGGGAGCCATCAACAGCTAAGAGTCTCTCTTGTGGTTGCTTTCCGTATGATAGCGCCGATATGCTTACCACGAGGCGCTTTGGTCACTATGAACTAGGCTGGCGAAGCGACAATGGTCACCGCTCGTGGCTGTTCCCATGTGCCTTGACGGAAGTACCAGGTGCTGAGGTGCCTTTGATGTATGCAGTGTGAAGTATAAAAGGTAGTGGATCCAAATGCAGCTCCCAAGGAATTAGTTATGGGATGAGATTATTTGAATGTTCGTACTAAAAGTGCAAAAGTTGGTGGGCCAAAATGTCAGTGAAAGGCTTATTTCTTTCCTCATGAACGTTTGGATGTATGCTTCTGTTTGTCCTAGTAGCCAGTCGCTTTTGGAAGGGCTGAGAAAGCACATGCAGTTCTCTCTTTCGATGCTGCTCCTACCCCTTCCTGCGCCCACATGTGCTAAAAGGTCCTTCCTTCCGATACAGTGGGCATTCTAACTTCGTTCTGGCTTGAAAGTTTTCTTAAACTTTCAAGAAAGGCACTCCCCTCATTTCTGTTTTGACGTAGCAGACAGACCACTCATACTGAAACCTAGTTTGACGGAACTCAAGCATTCGCCAACGCGTGTGCTACTGTTCACTTAATTCTGAATGCTTCACCTTTTCGTCACAAAAATTGCCATCTCAACTGCGACGCATTTGAGGCAGAAAGCAGCGAATAGAGAGGCGTCCGAGTGGCTAGAGGCGCCTGAAGAAAGAGGCAGTTAACGCCTAAAGCAAATGCCGACTGACTTTCGCCCAAAGTTCCGGATACCGCCGCCAAAGAGACTGCCTTGAAGCCAGAGGGGCAGCTGCCATCCAGGTCGTAGACAGACGAAGGAACGCCTAAAGAGCGAACACAGCAAAATTAAACAGCAAACCAACAAAATATACAGCAGACAGATCCACCAGCAACTCTCTCCATCACCGGCAAGAGATGATTCCACTTGCTGCTTGTGCTGGTCCAGCTCGAGCAGCAAGTGGGGTGACCTGTGCTTGGTTGGTGCTGCTGGTTCTGATGTAGGGGATGCACTAGTGCCTGCTCGCGATCTTGCCTCTTTAGTCACTGCTCGTTTCGCTTCTTACCGTATAAGAGTAGTGCTGCTCCTTATAAGTCGTTGTGATTACTCTATTTCTGAAGGTGCAGCTACAGTGGCGGAGGCTACGTGCGGCAGCAACCGAAAGGTACACGCTTGTCCTGCTGGTTGCCCAAGTCAGCTGAGGCCTGATAAGCAAAAAAGTGGAGAAAGACAGAGGGAACTCGGAGAAAGAGAGAGAGAAGGACGTATGCGACCTCGTGCAGGTGGGGAGGAAGACGTACACGGAGAAGGATATGAAGGCGAAGGCAAAGGAGTGAAAAAAAACAAACCACAGATATGACGCAAAATCTGTCTAGACATCCGAAGATGCAGCAGGAGCATAACACAGAGTGAATTTAGTGAAGCACCTGCAAGCAGGCTACACAGTCAGCCCGTAAGAAATGCAACCTTCTCTCCCCCCAAGTAGCCACCTGGCCTAATACACACTGCGAACCATCAGAAGGAGCGATTACACAGCGTTGTATGATTCGTGCTGCAGCTGCAGCTCCAGCAGCAAGCCTTGCTGCTGGCGCCGGTCGATGTGCCTTCAGGGAGCTGGCGGTGAGAGCTCGCGCTGCCCCCAGCGTCACGACCTTCCGCAGCAATAGTAATTTTTTCGTGGTGTTTCACGCGTGCAAACAGATACAATAAACGGAAAACCAAACGACTTCACTGAAACCGGACCAGCAGAAGAACAAGAAGACGTGCAAGCAGCTGCTATGGCAGCGCTGCAGCTTCAGTGAAGGAAACACCGGGCTCTGGTGTTATCTACGTATGTAACCTATGGCAACCGCATTGGGTTCAAACTCTATATACACGCTCTAATCACAGCGAATATATAATATTAGGAGATAAACATTCAACGAGTCGTCAGTAAAACATATTAGAATCCAATAATATTAAAGAGGAAATCCAAGAAGAACAATTCTGAACTGACTCGGCCATGAGTCAGACTCCCAGCCACACCGCGAGACTCACAGACAGCCCTATGCTGGTGTGGCTGCCGAGCGTCCTTGGTTTTATCTTGAATTTATATCTCAGGGCATTAGCAGTTATCTCTATTAGTGTTGTATCTGTTCTTTTTCAACTAAAAAGCTCTCTGAAGGTTAAACTTGAGCTCCATTGTAGTGCCTGAGCACTACATCCTGACGCCAAGACACCCCCCAGTGCGCTGGACCGGTGAGGTCCAGGCTGGCGTTCCGCTTGCTAAGTCCTTTTCCAGTGGATTACATTCATATTTTTATTCAAATATGGCATTAAATATGCCAAGAAGATCCATTTGAATATTCTTTTGTCTCATCTGCGCGCTTCTTCGGCAACGATCACGAGGCTGCAGATCGGGATAACGTCGCCCACAGGTCATTCGTTGCGTATTCGCGCTCGAATTCCCCTGAACGGAAAGCCCTTCTTTGTTTTCAGATACAATTTAGGATTAAATAACCCTATTTTCCAATAATTGATGCAGAGAAGCTCGTTTTTTATTGGCGATCCGGTGGACATTTAGGACCGGTGGACGCTCAGGGAGTGGCTCGACCGATGCAGTTTTGTTCTTTACTCCCTCCCCCTCCCCACATCCGCCGCCTTTCATTCTAGTTTCTGTTCAAGTTTTCCACCTTTTTGTTGCTCGCCTGGAGCCGAGGCGGGACACCATGCAACCCTCAGCACTAGCACAAACGGGCGCTCTGCCAGCGACGGTGTACCAGCCGGGCTGGGGTGACGGTGGTTGGGAGGTCTCCCCTGAAGAAGCTGCATTGCCTATTGCTTCGAGGAGCCTCACACAGATACGGAGTGGGAGATCCAGGGGGTTCAGCTTTGGTGTGGCAGCCCTGGCAGCCGTTGCTGCTGTTGCAGCAGTGTACTTAGTGTTCCGCTGCTCTCTGTATTTGGCGAACGTCAGCAAGAGTAGAAGGGTACTGAGATTTCTAGCAGGATCGGAAGGGAGGAAGGATAAAGATCCAGGAGAGTACTGCAGTGCTGTAGCGGATGATCCTCCTACTGCAGCAGCTGCTGCTGCTGCTAACGGAGAGAGCGGGGAAGGGCATTTGGATAAGGAGGTGTTGTTGAGTCGAGTTCACAATTATGGTGTTGAGCTAACGCGTCTTATAAAGGCAAGCACTTCGTCACTGCTGCAACTGAACAGCGATTACAGAGCGAAGTGCATAGCCCAGCTGTTGTGTCTGTCTTTGGCGGAGTATGCTGCCTTGTACTCTGTATTAGAGCGAAGAGAGAGAGCTGGCGTGGCAGAAAGAATACGTACAATCTCCAACACTATATGGACCCTCCGCAGAAGCTTCAGGTCTGGATCTCTTACGTCCACGCGGACCCGGCATCTCAACGAAATGCAGTCGCTCCTCATCAAGCTCACAGAGATTCAACCCCCTCCAGCAACCATACCGGAGAGCCATAGGCTGCAGAAAGTTGACAAGCTTCTGGAGCTGCAGGAGGTGTCATTGGGGCAGCTTAATTCGGGTTTCTTCTGGCTCCGTGAAGCTCTAGAACACTCCAAGAAGGCGAGACACGAGGCTGAAGCTGCTAGAAGGACTGCTGCAGCTGCTAGGGGTGCAGCAGAAATTGCTGAAGCTGCTGCAGCTGTTGAAGCTGCTGCAGCTGCTGAAGTTGCTGCAGCTGCTAGAGTTGCTAATGTTGTTAGAGCCATCGAAAAGACCGCGCAAAAGCGCAAGGATCAAGTCCTCAACGATCCCCAGCTCAGCCACTGGCTGCGGGAGGCGCAACCAAAAAACCACTACGGCATCACGAACCGTGCACGTATTGAGGCGATCGCCCAGCAACCCCTTCTAGCCCACCATGAACTCTTAGAAGCCCTGAAGGCAACTCCTCTGGGATCGGGAGAAGATCCTGGGGATCTTGTCTTCGCCGATGATAGTACTGAAAAGCAGCAGGCAACCACCCCCCAGTCTGGCTACCAAACACCCCCCCGAAGAGCCAAGGCTTCTCCTTCTGTAGGCCCAAGCAGTGCACCTCACCCCGTATGGCAGCAGACGCTTGATAGGCAAAGCATAGGAGACGGAAAAGGATGGGTCGAGTCCAGTTCCTTCTCCGCGTACCCCACCATGTCTACAAATGCTGAAAATGCAGACGGTGCTGCTGCAGCTGATGCTGGTGCAGCTGGTGCTGCTGCAGCTGGTGCTGGTGCAGCTGGTGCTGCTGAAGTGGCTACGGCTGAGGATGCTCTTTTACAAGCTCCCAGTCATAGCAAGGTAGTATATGGCTTTTATGAGCCGAATGCTCTTTCACAGGTATGGGTGCCTGCTCCTGGATGGGTTCCTGTCGACTCTGGAGTCTCCGCTGCTATCCACCCTCCTCCTGGCTTCTCACCTAGCTATCGCTTCCCCCAAGCCGGATGGCCACTCGCTCCCTCGGGTGCCACTCCTGTTGGGATGTCTTCCTCTATTCCTGCGTTTCCTCGGCCCATGCGGAGGCCTCCGCGGAGTACCTTCCCAGCAGCTGTTTCTGCTGCTGCTGCTTACGCCCCTGAAGCCTACTTTTTGAGGCCTCCAGGTGTTCCTTATCAAGTCGTCCCTGCTTATCCTTCTGCTGCTGGACCCTGGGTTCCAGTACCAACACTTCATGTACCGCCTGGCTCTGCCGCCTCACACCTCTCGACAGAAGCGTCCACCTCTTCGCAGGCTGGCTTTCGGAGTTCCCAGGATTCGTCCCAGCCTCGTGATGGGGCTCCTCTTGTACCCCTCTCCCGGATGCATCCGCCTGCTAGCGTTTCTTCCTCCCCTGCAGCAGCCTCAGGGCGAGAAGATCCTGTAGACATCTTTGGCAGTCCGATCACCTTCAGGGAATGGGGGCTCCCCGAAAATGCTGCGCCAAGACGCGGTGCACACGTCCCTCCCAGTAGATGGCCAAGTCGTAGAGATATTGCTGCAGGTTTTGGGGAACTTGAAAAACTCTTCGGTGAGGCATCCGACCGGCAGCAGAACAAACCAGTGGACCGTAGAAATCCCCCAGGTAGCAGCAGCTCCCGCAGCTGATGCTGCAGCAGTAAGTGCTGCAGCAGCTCATTCTTTCCTTGCTTTTCCCAAATCTGGTGAAGGATTAAGCTCTGAGGCCTTGAGGATATATTAGGGAATTTTTTCTCGTCCTTCAGTAAATGAGAAAAGCAAATATTTGCAGAAGGTTGAGGGCGTGGAGGGCAACTCTCGTGAGGGCTCGCAGGTGTACGCTTTTTCAACTCCAAGCCGAAACGAAATTCTGTTGGAGGGGGAGAGCATCGTGAAGCAGCTCTTCGCTGGCACCCACTGCGTTACTAGGATGTGCAGAGGGCAAGAAGGAAACGGGAGCCTTCAATAGCTAAGAGGAGGCAAGAATTTTGCTTTTCGTGTGGTAGCACCGTAGCACCGATGTTCCTAATACGAAGCGCTTTGTTCACTGTAGTGCAGGCTGAGGCTGCGCTACAGGTGATTGTTCGCGGCTGCTTTAATGTACCGGGACAAACATAGTAAGTTGTTAAGTGTTTGTGGTGTACAAGGTATGAAATGTGGTTGAAAAAACTATAGTACGATAACCGCCATTATTCCTGGCTTATTTGACGCGCCTCGACAGAAGTACGAGGCGATTTGGACGTCTTAAGTGTGTGCTCTTGTGCGTATGCGAGGAGTTGTGAACTGACAACCAGTCGCGGCGACAAGAGCTAGAAAAGCAGCTGCATTTCAGTCGTCAGCTGCTCCCCTGGCTTCGCCAGTAGATGCTGTAAGATATGCAGAAGCATCGTGCCTCTGCAATGTGCTTTGGGGCTTTTTGTTTGTTTGTTGATGTTTACTCAAGCTTTTGTAGCCCGGAGACTCCCACGAAATGTATTTTCTATAGTGCTTGCCTGGTGAAGCAGCAGGCAAGCAGCCTTAATCTAAATATTTTTTTCACGCAATTAAAGCAAGCGCGAATCGCTGTTCACTCGATTCTGCGTGTTTTTCCATTTCATCAAAGAATAAGTCGTGCACCCCGCAGGAAGCTGAAAACCATGGTGGTGTTGACCTGCATCCTCTAGTTGTGGTAACACTAACAAGATAGCGATGTTGCAACGCAGTCAGTTGCAAGTAGAGTAACAGACACAACTGCCTGCATATTGAGTATTCCTTTCCACCAGCTGAAACACCATCAAGATGTGAATTTGTATATAGGGCAAACAATGCCAACAAATCGAGCGAGCAGTTCACTGCCTTTCTGATGGCTCGTTTCTGCTTTAAGCGGGCTAATGCAGTAGTGACCAGGCATTACATCACCGTCAATTTCTTCGTTTCTCCGAAGTTTCTGAGAAAAAAAAACAGTGAAAAGCCTTAAGTTGCACGGAAAGCTTGCAAAAAGCAAACCATAGACCGCTCCGCTGCCTAGCCGCGCGGCCAGCTGGCTGCATAGCAGGGGAAACGCAACTCAGTTGAACGGATGAAATTGCAAAACCAGGAGGGCTGAGGGCATGCCAACCCCAAACGCACATTGCAGCGCTTCAGCGACAAGGCAATTCCACTTCGTCCGGTTCCTGCTGTGCTTTCTCTCTTTCCTGAATATTCCGGAAGCGTCAATGACAGCTTTCAATATAAACGTGTGATTTCAGCTCAGTAAGTTCTATTGACGTAAGCTTTTCATGAACAGAAAGCCAGAAGGAAAAGCAGCGAGGCACTAGCTGTACTGAGATACAGAAACCAGCCGCTGGGCGGCGAGCGGCATCAACGCCTCTGAATATACCCCATGAATAAATGATTGAGGAAATCATTTATTCATGTTTCTCTCCAAAGCAATAGTAACAGCTGAAGCAAGCTGTATAGCTGCAGCGCAAGAAAGGCTATCGATGTGAAACCACCAAAATACTGCTTTCCAGTATAGCAGTAAGCTGAAGGGATACAATTTCGTCGATGCATTTAAATACGCGACATGAATGGAGGAATATGCACGCAATATGCTTGCAATTGAAAACCAGCAATATATATATATATATATATATATATATATATATACATAT